CCCTGCATCAGCAGCAGGATGGACTGGATGAGCCTCGGAACGACTTCCAACTCTGCCATTCTATGAGTCTATGTCATGTTTCATATTTCTACCAGTCAAAATAAGATCTCTCCATCCAGGTTCCCATCCTTGAGTCCCCAGAGGTTCTTGGACTAAAACTCCCAGAAGCCTTTGCCACAAGCTGCACTGGCCAGGGTCTCTGGGAGTTGTAGTCCAAGAACCTCTGGAGACCCAAGAATGGGAACTATTGGTCTAGAAATGACTTCCAAGGCTAGAAATGAGAATCTGAATGGAACCACATTTTCTAGATCTGACGGGCGTGAGCCAAAGAAGCTCCTTACCTTGAGGACTGACATTCTCCTCATCCTCCTGCAGGACTTGCCAGATTATAGGTTGATGGCCAGGCTGAGGTAGATTCTGTTTCACTCTTTGCAACAAGTGGCTGGCTTCCTTGAGCTCCACCAGTTCCTGCAAAAAGAGAGAGGGGTCCCGTCCCGTTTGGTTGCCATAGGAAGACAATGGAAAGCAAAACTTGACAGGCTCACTTGAAACCTGGAACAATTTGTGATTGCCAGAACACAACGAAAGAAATAAAAAGAAAAATATAACCCCCCCCTCCACCACACCAGAAACGAAGGACCATGTCTCTTCATAAGAAACCTGTCTTTAATTTGAAAGCTTCAAACGAGCCTCCCCTCCCCACCCCCAGTCCTATCACCTACCCATGTATGAAGAAAAGAGGGCCTTCTCTGTGGTGGCTCCCAGGGCGTGGAACTCTTTTCCAAAAGGAACTAAATTGCCCTAAATTGTGGTATTTTTAAAAATGGTTTTTGAAGTACATCAATTTGAAACTTGTCTTGTTGTGTCTCTTTGACAGTTCTGTATATATATAGTTTTATTGTGCGGTCATGGACCCATTCATACAAAGAGAAAATAGATAAAAGAAATACATAACCTGTTATAAAATCTTGCTACAGCGTTCTGAGAGTTCTCATAGCCGAAAATAAAAACTTAGCCACTAACTGTGAATTTATTTGATTCTCTCTGGACAACAGAAACCTCAGATAGCTTGTGGGAGATAGACTAGTACATTTAGTTGTAAGTGAAGATACTGAATACAGTACATTCGAGCCTATATAGGCTACATTCTAAAATGATGAGCACCAAGGTCTCAATCATTTATTTCCTGCAGGGACAAATCCTTTCACCGTATGAGGTGTTATTAAAACACCCTTTAAAAAGGGCTGAGGGAAAGCAGTTAAACCTAAGCCCTTGAAAAGGCAAAGCAATATCTTGGTGCTGTAATTTGGGATGAGTAGTTAGCTGGCTTGAGGAAGTTAAAATTTAGGCCAAAACAGAATGGTGAACAAGTCCTGTCTGCACAGGCTAGAGAGTACAGAAGGTCTATATCTTTAATACGTTGAATAAGTATTGGTTTAATGCTACCTTGAGGCTGTCTCAGTAGGAAATCCATAGAGAACCCTAAGAGATACAGTTTTTCAGTAAATCCCTTATGCCATGAGCTGGCAAAGCGCTCTTTCTGCAAATAGTATAGGTAGCCACAGGTTATTGGAGCACAGACCACCTTTAACCAATAACGAAATACATGTGGCCACACTTGACATCCTATTCAGAGCATATCAGCTACGAGCCACAGACCAGCTTCATAAGCTTCCTTGAGTCTCCATGGGAGAAAAGTGAGAAAAACATTTTGAAATGTTCCCCCTCTCTGTTGGATCAGTATTCGCTGATTCATTTAACCGCTGCCTGAAAATACTAAATTAAAAAAATCACAGAAATATGTACAGTGGTGCCTCGCATTATGACGTTAATTTGTTCCAGCAAAATTGGTGTAGAATGGAAACGTCGTAATGCAAAAATAAAAAGCCCATTGAAACGCATTGAAACCCCTTCAATGCGTTCCAATGGGCTGGAAACTCACCGTCCAGCAAAGATCCTCCATAGGGTGGCCATTTTTGGTGGCTGTCTTGCAAGGAATCCATCCCAGAAAACAGCGGGGAGCCATTTTATTTACCCGGCAGCCATTTTGAAACCGCCGATCAGCTGTAGAAAAATCGTCGTTTTGCGAAGAATCGGTTCCCGAAGCAGCGAACCAATCATCACAAAGCGAAAAAACCCTATTGAGACCATCGTTTTGTGATCGCAATTGCGATCGCAAAAAGATCGTCATAATGCAGTTTCGTCATAATGCGGGGCAATCGTAAAGCGAGGCACCACTGTATTAATATGTATTTCTAGGGTGTATTTACCAGACCTGACCATAGAGGGAGCCAGAGACTATGCACCGCACAGCAGTCAAATCTTCCATGTTTTCGGGTATCCACGAGGGGGGAATCGAACGGATCCCCTGCGGATAGTGCAATTCTACTGTAAAATAACTTTAATCAATACTGGCTAAAATCTTGCGTAGTGATACAGATGATGCAATATTTGGAAGCAAATTGATGTAAATTAAGAAATCTTAGACAAATGTCACATACCGTTTTTACACCAGAATGGATGATTTCTTGTCTTTCAGGAGAGAGCGATGAACTTGTGCAACTGGGGCCTTTTGTTCCCCTGCCTAAATAGAAGGGGAAATTGTGAGGAGAACGAAGCCACCTCCCATCATTAGAATTACAGCATACATGTATTGATTATTGTCATTTATATAATTTATAAATTATTTATAAATTAAATTATTCTTTGTAAATTACACTAGGACCCTCGTATCTGCTGGAGATCAGTTCTAAACCCCTCTGTTGATGCAGAAAAACATGGATTATAATGAACATTGTACATAGTGTGGTCTTTGTCCCCCTCTTGTGGCCAGTTCTGGTAATGACATAGTGGAAATCTTATTTCTCTAGTGCAGTGGTTCTTAACGTGGGTGATAATGCCCACCAAGGGGCGATTTCATTTTTCAGGGGGGCGGTAAAACGAAAAGGGGTGGCGTGGGGGCGCTGGAGCAGAAGGGGGGCGGCAGGGGGGCGCTGGAGCAAGCCAAACCTGTGAAGATGGCTGCAGCCTTTATACAGTGTGAATGAATATATATTTTCCTCCAATTTTAATTTAGTTTCAGACTTTTTGCCTTGAAATTTTTAGTTCCTGCATTTGTTTTTATGCCCTTTTTATATTTCTTTTTGCGTCTTAAAATTCACTTGCAACTAAATCATTATATGTTACTTTTTGGGGGGCATTTCATTTTCTAATAAATAAATAGATAGATAGATAGATAGATAGATAGATAGATAGATAGATAGATAGATAGATAAATAAATAAATAAATAAGATATCAGCGCGAGGAGGGGGGCGATGATAACTTCCTCAATGGCTCAAGCGGGCGTTTCTTTCAAAAAGGTTAAGAACCACTGCTCTAGTGAACGCTACACACAGCATGGTCTCTGGACAGTTCTGGTAACTTCATTGTTAGGAAAAAGATATTTATGAGATTTTTTTTAATATTCCCAGAATGCAGCTATGTTCAAGAGCTGCCTTCAATCAGCTGAGGCGCATTGTCCAACTCTGCCTTTTCCTGGACGAAGGATCCCTCAGGGCCTTGGTGAATTGCACTGGTCAGCTCCTGTATGGACTACTGCCAAGCTCTCTATGTGGGGCTCCCCTTGGGACTGACCCAAAGACTGCGGCAGGTCCAGAATGTAGCAGCCAGCTGGGTGGCTGGTGTGAACGAGTTCAATCACATAACCCCAGTCTGGTGGTGCAGGTTCTGGGGGGGGGGAAGCACTTCATAGCTTAAGGACTCCTTACCTGGCACAGGGATCCCTCCATCGCAGCTTGGCTTGGCTTCCTCGTAGATCTCTTCGTTTGCAACGTTCAAGGACTCCTCTGTCTCCAGGAAATCCGTGCTTTCCTCTTTCAATGGTTCCTGAAACAGGGAGGAGGATCAGACAGGGCAGAAGGACCCACCAGCTGAAAGAGTAACTGCAGAAGGTCGGGGGGACTTTGGTCAACCGTGTCCTTCAAAGATCTCAGTTACATCCTGCTTACAATTGAGGTTCCTGTTAAGCTACTTAATTCTGAGCATGACACACCTGCTCTGCCCACCCACAACTATCACAGTTCCTAGAACGGCAGTCTCATTATCAACCTACACACTGGGCAAAGCTTCAGCTGAAAAATTTCACCCCATCACAAAGGTCTTGGAAACAATTTGCCACCCCCCAAATAAAATGCGGGAATCATAACGAGGATAATCATCATCTCAGGACTGCGGAGCTGAAAGGAACCCTATAATCTTTAACAGTTTGAGGTTTTAGAGGGAAGTAACAATGCCGTTTTCAATGGCCAGAATCATCTTGGTATCTGCCTAAGTTTTGTGTAATTTGCCACAACAACAACAACAGAACTGAAGAGCTAGAAGGCAACCTATGGATAATTACATATTTTTCTGTGTATAAGACGCCCCCATGTATAAGATATCCCCCCAGTTTTCTAACCCAAAATTAAGAAATCTAAGTGGGGTTTATCAAGTGTAGGGAGGAAAAGGATCAAAGCCCTGCAGGATCACTTTGATACCTGCTTTCCCCTCTACTTGTTTTTTTTTTCTCTCTCCTCAGCTTACTTCAGTGTATAAGACGACCCTCAATTTTTAGTCTAAAGATTTCAGACAAAAGTATAGTCTTATACATGGAAAAATACGGTAAGTCCAGATCCTGTCTAGGAGGCACAAGTGGGGAATTGAACTCCTAACCTTTGGCTCTGCAGCCAGAGACCTAAACCACTGAGCTAACAAACCATGGCTAATGGTGACAAATTAATGAGTTTCTGACTTCTGTGTCTGGCGATCGTAAGCCCAATCCTGCAACAGAGGGCACCCAGGCAGCTCAGCAATTAGCTGCCTTTAGCTGCCATGAGTTACACAGGCCTTACACAAATGCCAATAGGATACCAGTCAATAATTTTTAATTTGCAAATGAGGAATAGTAGCTGTCTACACTGCATACAAATTATGTGTAGTTGTGTATCTATTCTTGTTATCATTCAAAGAAAATGCACAATTAGCACATGAACAATATGTAACAAGTGTGCTGCTTGTATACCGCCTCATAGTGCTTCAAGCACTCTCTGGGTGGTCTACAATTTAATTATGCAGGCTCCACAGTGCCCCACCCCAGCGAGGTGGGTACTCAATTTACCTACTTTGAAAGGATGGAAGGCTGAGTCAACCCTGAGCCATCTACCTGAGCTTGTTGGGCATGCATCATATGATTTTAATTGTTTGAATCAGACACAGGGAGCTATGCTGTCCACCAAGGATGATGGACCTCCCAGCATCACTTACTACAGTGGTGCCTCGCATTACGACGTTAATTCGTTCCAGCGAAATCGCTGTAGAACGAAAACGTCATAATGCGAAAAGAAAAAAAAACATTGAAATGCATTAAAACCCGTTTAATGCATTCCAAAGGGCTGTAAACTCACCGTCCAGCGAAGATCCTCCATAGGGCGGCCATTTTCGCTGCCTGTACAGCGAGGAATCCATCCCAGAAAACAGCAGGGGGCTGTTTTGTTTACCCGGCGGTCATTCTGAAACCGCCTATCAGCTGTTGGAAAATTGGCATTTTGCAAAGAATCGGTTCCCGAAGCAGGGAACCTATCATTGCAAAGCGAAATTCCCCCATAGGAAACATTATTTTGCGATCGCAAAAGCGATCGCAAAAAGTTCATCATAATGCGGTTTTGTCATTAAACGGGGCAATTGTAAAGCGAGGCACCACTGTATTAGTTGACTAGTCATTAGTAGTCAACATGGACTGCCACCTCAGTTTGAATCTACCATTTGCTAGCTGGGAACATTTTACAGCAAGGCATTACGTAATTAATAATCCTGCGCCATCTCGTCACTTCCAACATGGTGACCATTTTTCAAGGGTTTTCCATGTAGAAAAAACTCAGAAGTGGTCTACTACGTATTCTTTTCTTCCAGGTGAATCCCAGGACTGTGAAGCTTACCCAAGGCTACACAGACTGGTTCTTTTCCTGAAAAGCACAATGGATGAACTGAACTCTCAACCTCTGGCTCTATAGCCAGATGTCTAACTCACTGATCTATCCAGTAGCCCTAGGATATAATTGCATGCAATAAAATTAATTGATTCAAACAACAGCAATAACAAGGGGAAACAATTGGTACTGTATATATTAATATGATTCGGTTTTGTTTTTTTTACAGCTGGGGCATTTTTGGGAAGCATTAAACCAACTCTTATTTGGAATGGCATTCAGTAGATGATTTAAGTAGATTGAGAGGGTTTCACACTCTCCAGTTTCTAAATTAACAAATCCAGATTTTTTTCAGCACCCCAACCTACCTTCTGCAATGTTTTACAGTCTGGGAATTAAATATTAGAATCTCACCTGCCACATCTCTTCCACAGAGGCTTTCTGGCTCACGAGGAAGTCCTCCGCCAGGGCCACGGCCTGGGAACACGTGTTGGGCCCTCCTGCCCGGATCCAGCCCCGGAGGTCCGGGGGAAGGCTGGCCAGGAACTGCTCCAGGATCAGCAGCTCCAGGATCTGCTCCTTGCTGCGTCTCTCCGGCCTCAGCCACCGGTGGCAAAGCTCTTGGACGTGGCTGTGAAGCCTCCGGGGGTCTTCCACCTCCTGGCAGGAGAAGTCCCTGAAGTGCTGGCGTCTCCCCTCCATCCCCAGGGCATCCCCTCGCAAGATGGCAGCCTTCACTTTCTCATAATCCTCTTTGTCTTGGGCTTCCAAGTCTTGGAAGGCCTTCTTTGCTTCTCCACTGAGAGCTGGCAGGAGCTGGGTGGCCCACTCTTCCTTTGGCCACCGGCAGGATTTGGCCACTTTCTCAAAGGAGGCCAGGAAGGCCTTGGCATCATCCCACGGGGCCGTCATCTCCTCCATCACTGGATGTTCCTCTCCTGTGTGGACGGGCTGCAGGGTCTTCAGAAAACCTTGCCACTGGGCTTCCCAGTTCTCTTGCATCCCTTGAGGCAGCCTTCCTTCAACACTCAGCAAAGGTCCCGATCCAGGTGGCTCCTGTAAATGTTCAGACTGGAGTACACCTGGTCTGATTAAACATTCTTCCAGTTCTTCTCCTGCAGACATTTCCTGCTTCATTGCTTTTTCCATTCTTCTCAGACCTAGAACGAAGAGCATTTCCCAATGAACCCTCTTCTTCCAGAATACATATATTACTAATCTGTAGTGTTTCAGTTAAGGGCTCAGCTGAGACCAATGTGTAATGACTGAAGGGTCCTTGCTAAGGACTTCAGCTGAGAGCAATGTAAAGGCAGGCTCCCCTGAGGAATTGGTTCAGGAAACAACTATTGTCTTCACCTGCAATTTGCCTTGATATCTCCTGGTGCTATCCTGACCCTTGGACCGGACCTGGCCTTTTCTTTGCGATTCCTTCCATTATTACTGCTGGTTCTGACTGATTTTCTGGCTTCTGACCTTGGACGGGGTTATTGGCCTTTCGTTTACTGAAGGAAATCACGACGTTGCCGTCAAGTCCCTTCTGACTTGCGGTGACCCTTTCCAAGGCTTCCTAGGTACTTAACACTCAGAAGCGGATTCCCATTTCCCTTCTTCTGGGGGACGCCCCGAGACTGGGCAGCTTGCCCAAGGCCACCCAGGCTGGCTTGACTCACAGAAGGCCCGGTGGGGGGACTCGAACTCGCAACCTCTGACTACAGCCAAATACCTAACTCACTGAGCTGTCCAGCCTGCTGCAGGATATATTAAGAGACCCCCCAAGAATTTTTTAAACAATATTTATGTTTTAATTGCAAAAGAAGTCCCCCCCCCAAAAAAGCACCAGAATTTTACTATCAGACCTCTTATGGACTATTTCGAAAAGAGGGGACAGAATTCAACAAGTGTCATGTTATGAACCAATGGGTTAAAAAAAAAAGTAAAGTAAAAATGGAATTCTATGCCTATTGTGGGAAATTTGCAAGCCATTTCTTTTTGAATCCAATGGTACAACAGCATGGGTATCAGTACAGGATAAGCCATGAGGGCTGATCACATCCTTTCCCAAGTACTGTAAATGATACCTTTCTTTTCAGGCAAGCTTTCTCTCAATGACCTGAGCGTGATCTTTTTAAAGGAATCCGGCAAGCTTTCTCTCAATGACCTGAGCGTGCTCTTTTTAAAGGAATCCTGCATCACTGTTTTGGCTGTGTTTTTAGTATTGCTTGCGTTTCCCACTTCTCAGAGGAGTAACTTAGTTCCTTTTAACATATTTTGATACTTACTGTTGTTAGGTGTAAATGTTACCTTTTAACAACGGACGTACACCACCTTTGTATGCTCATTGTTTTGTTCTTAAATCTCGTTTTTCAATTATGTAAGCCGCCTTGGCTCCTTTTCCTAAGGGAAAAGGTGGGGTAAAAATATTACAGATACCCTGTAAACGAAAACCTAGGTTGGTTCTAGGGTGGGACTGGGATAAGCCAGCCTTGAACTGGTTATCCCCAGACCGCAGCTGGGGGACTGTGTGTGCAGCAGGCAGGAACTCACTGCAACCTTAAACACTCCTCCTACTCAAGAGGTAAGCCTGGTGCCTAAGTAAACGTGGGGGGGGATGTTTACGTGAAGTAAACAGGCCTTAAGGGCAGCCCTGCGACAGACACGTGAAGCGTCTCCACCTCAACCCGGTCCCAGGAACCACAACAGAGCTCCACGAAGCGCCCGCCCCCAAAAGCTGGCATACCGGAAGAGACGAGGAGGCCAGTGTGATCCTTGGCGGGCTTGCTTGCAAAGTCTTGGCTGGAGTTCTGCACTGTTTGGGTGCCTTGCTTGGAGATCGCTCCGGAAAGGGGAAGGTCCAACCTTTGGACACCCCCCCCACCGCCCCGGCCCTGGCCGGACGGACAGCTGGCTGGCTGGCTGGCTGGAGCAGAAACCGGAAGAATCTCCGCCTCTCTCTCCCTCCCTCTCCTTAGTCCCTCCTCATCCTTGGAGGATCAGCGGCGGAGAGGCCGGAGCTCACGACCGCCCCCTCCTGGGCGACTCTATCGTTACGTCTTAAATAAAAATTAAAGTAGAAAAGGCGAAATGTTGTTTAGTCTTTAAAGTGCCACAGTGTCTTGTATTCCATTCTCCCTTTTTTTCTCCTTTTGCCTCATAAAGCTTTGCCAAGATGGTGAGACAGCCACCCCAAAGAAGAGGGTTCTGTCATCACCTAACGAAGTGTAATCTCCGTACAAATTTCCTCACAGTACCTACATTTCGTTAAAGTACTCTTTAAATATTGACCAGATTAGAGTAAATACAAAAACAACAAAAAACAACGAAAAAACAAAAAAAAACCCCAACTTATTATGTTTTTAATTTTGCTCTTGTTAATATGTTGTGATCAGCCTTGGGTCCCCTTATGAAGAGAAAGGCTACCCATAAAGTAAAACGAATAATAAAGTCCTCTTCGTGAATACAATAAAGTCCTCCATCATCGTCGTTTAGTTGTGTCCAACTCTTCGTGACCCCATGGACCAGAGCACACCAGGCCCTCCTGTCTTCCACTGCTTCCCAGAGTTGGGTCAAGTCCTCCATAGGTTCTACTGATCCAAATTGGCCTGTTCTAGTGCCATTTATTATGCTAAAAACAGGATTTCAGCTAACACTCTCCAGTTTCAAAAATACTGCATGAGATTACCATACGTTGGGTTCTAGTTCTCATCAGCTCCTCACCAGCTATCTAGAAATCTGGGATGGGGGGGAAAAAACTGGTGATACAAATCTCGATATCAGACATAAGAAAAAAATAAAGAAGGCAAAAAAATTGTGGCACTTTAAAGACGCACTGCTATATTTTAATGTGAGCTTTTGTGGATCACGTCCACTTCCTCAGTCTCCACAAAAACCCACATTAAAAATAACAGGAGTTGGTCTTTAAGGTGCCACAATGTTTTTATCTTATTTTTAAAGTTTTTTTTTTAAGTTTTGCCAGATACACTAGGATAGACTAACATGGCTACCTTTTTTGAAACAAACTGGATCTCTAGATCTCAGGCTTTGTTCCAAACCAGAGATTTTCCCTGAAGCACAGCCAGCTAAAGATGGGGAATAGACTCACAGGACTTGCTGTCAAGTCAGACTTAAGTCCCACCGGTGACATGACTCAGTGTTTGTTTTTTTCAATGACTCAGATGCAACTTGTCACTTGGAACCCATCCACACTCTCCCTTTTTTCTATGGGGAAAAGCTTGTTTTTTTACTGGAACTTGGGTTTGGGATTCATGACTTGGTAACAAAGGCTCAGACTCGGGATTTGGTGCCAAGGACTTGAACTCAGGACTTGGACCCAAAGACTCGCCTAAGTCCAGTGTGATTCATTACGCTAAGCAATAGGACTTTGGCCATTGGCTGAAATCTTGTTGCGTAGCATACACAATCTAGTTATTCATTATGTGATTTATTGTGTAACATTTTGGTTCATAAAGCGCCTCCTCCCAGTGGAGAGAGACAGATTAAAATCGAACAGTGACCTGCTAGCATCCTCTTTTGGAGCTCCGCCACTGTAACAGGAGTGATGTTGCTGACTTCTTAAAACAATCCTTTTTATCCCCAGTTTCAGGATATGCATCAGATTTTCTTCCTCAGACCTTGGGTCAGAGTCCTCTCCGGCACACAAAAGCAGGCAAAGTGGATCCTGAAGCTTCCCACCATGCAGTCACAATTATGCTGAAAACAGAGGTGGTTGTAAAGAGACCCAGTGAAGACTCTTCGGGGAAGTTGATTAGAGGCCAAATCCTTTCCATCCGAATCCTGCTGCAACAATGGGGAAGAAAAAGCCCTAAGATCTCCCTTCCCCTTGGGGACTTCTAGCCTTCCAGAGTCAGTCAGATGTCTTTGGTGATTCGCGTTTTGAAATGCCCTCCCCACTGCTTGGCTCCTTCTCTTTAGCTCTCTCTACTTGGGTGCCCACCAGATGTGTGGGAGTACAATTCCCATCTTTGAACCACTATCCTCCTTGCTTATACCTTCACTGCCTTTCCTTTCTTGCTCAAATTCCTCCACTGGTCTGGAAGCCAGAATTAACCCTTTGAGGTGTAGGAAACCAGGGTAGAGAAGCCAGTATATGTGTGTTCGTGTGTGTGTGTGTTCCTAGAGGTGGCCAGGGGTGCATTTGCACAATTAAAACTAGTGTGCCAGCTTCGACCATTCCTTGAGAGGTCTGATCCAGCCATGGTGACACATGCCTTAATAACACAGACTCTTATGTGGGGCTGCCGAGGGAAACAGTCTGGAAAGGTCAGTGAGTCCAAAAGGCAGCAGCCAGATTGCAGACTGGAGGAGGGCACAGGGATCAAACAACCCCTTCTTACAGCAGCTCCTCTGGCTGTCCATCAGTTTCCGGACACAAATCAAAGTGTTGGTTTTAACCTATAAAGATATAAGCTGTCTTTCTATACTCATTGTTTTTAGCTTTAAATATTGCCTATCAATGATGCAGGCCTCCTTGGGTTTTCTTAAAAGTAGAACGGCAGGGTTAAAATAATTGTAATCAAACAAAATAAATAAAAAATAAACTTGCTAACTTCTTCCTGTCACCAGAAATACACCTCACCCGTGCCTTGGGACCAGTGGATGCTTTCTTCCTCCCTCCCGCTGTTGTTAATCCGTGATATTCTATGTGCCCTGAGAAGATTAACAAACAAACCACTCAGATGCTGAGATTTTCTTTGTACAGTTTCTTTAAAAGCACCTCAGCTGAAGCACAAAATCCATCCAGTGCATTCCAGGGAAGGAAGGACCTGGTTAACCGCCCCAGGAGACCATTGCAAAGGGCAGCTCTTCAATAAGAGCCATACGAGAAAGGAACGCCACTGCTGGAAAGCACTTTTGCAAAGCAAAGCAACGGTCTTCCAGTTTTCCAAGCCTTAGACGTTTCTTTCCTTTGAGAAGTAATAGCAGAATGGCTCATAAGGAATTGTTTAAATCAAGAATATCATGTCTGTAGAGATTTAGCAACACTGTAAAGTAAAACTAAAGGGGGATTTGAGAACTTTTTATAATGGAAATATTTTTTTTTTTAAATGCAAAAGTGGTACGTGCCGATGCTCCCTATGCCCAGTGAGGCAAAAAAAAAAATTATCCTGTACAAGATTCATGGTAAAAAAATATTCAAAGAGTATGAGACAGGGGGTAAGAGTGATGTCCCTCTCACCCATACTGCCGAGAAAGAGATACAGACCTTGCCCACTTCATCCCCCAAGAGAACAGAACAGCAAGGGACAGATACTCAAGTATTAGAAGGAGAAATACGAAGGTTAATGGTCGAAGGAACTCGGGGGAAAGGGTTGAAATAAAAGGGGAGTGGAGATAGAGGCGGGAACAGCAGATATAAAAAGGAGGAAGGAACAGTTACCTCCAGCTTGGGAATGGGTCTGGATGGAGGATCCCTGGATCAGAGCTTGGGAGAGGCTGAGAGGAGGAAGATTATAGGAGGAGAGATCCCCCGAGACCGTCTTATTGGGGAGAAGAGGAAGCCAAGGAGACAAAGGCTAAGATTGGAAAAAGAAAAAGTAGAGACGAAGACGAAGCCAGAGAGTGGAGGCGAAAGCTAAGAGAGGAAAAAGAAAAGGTAGAGAGAGACAGGAGAGAGAGTTTGGAATGGAGGGTGAGAGAAATGAGGAAGAAGGGATACAGGGGGGAACCTGGAAGACCCCCAAACCCGTTGGAGGCTCCGTGCGAGTGGATGATCAGAACGAGAACACTGTGCCCCTCCTGGAAGGTGAACCGGCCAGAGAGTGGAGGCGAAAGCTAAGAGAGGAAAAAGAAAAGGTAGAGAGAGACAGGAGAGAGAGTTTGGAATGGAGGGTGAGAGAAATGAGGAAGAAGGGATACAGGGGGGAACCTGGAAGACCCCCAAACCCGTTGGAGGCTCCGTGCGAGTGGATGATCAGAACGAGAACACTGTGCCCCTCCTGGAAGGTGAACCGGGACATACGGTAGACCCGAACTTGCCTATATACTGGCCGTGTCCATGGAATGCTGGGGAAGGGAACCTGTTCTGGAGGCTCCGTGCGAGTGGATGATCAGAATGACGACACCGTGCCCCTCCTGGAAGGTGAAGCGGGACATACGGTAGACCCGAACTTGTCTATAGACTGTCCGGGTCCATGGAACGTTGGGGAAGGGAACCCGTTCCTGGATGAAGAATGGAAGCTCATTGCTGATGGGTTGTCGGAAGGAGAAAAACGTTGGAATAACTTTGTTGACACCGGTTATTTGTTGAACACTCCAATAAACACCACACCTGTTTCTAAAGTACAAAAATTTCCTGATTTATTCGAACAAAGAAAAGAGCCACAAATCAAACCCTCACAGAGGGATAAGGCTCAGAACCCACACTCCAGGTTGAAAGAGTTATGGACAGTCAAGGGTTTGGAAGTTATTTTCCATAAGTAATTCATTCCTATTACTCACTAACAGCGGTCGAAAAATTGTTCTACATTACAACACTGGAAAAGGATTTTGTTACATTTTCTGGTGCACTGCTCATTCTTATTTCGCATTTTCTGTAAGTTTGGGGAGGAAAAGAGTCCTTATTGATAAGGTAAGAAATAGGTTCTTTTTACAAAACAACTATTTCAAAGTATCTCAAAGTGCCTGTCAGATATAACTTTTGATATAACCTTTGTAACGGGGCATCCATTACAAGCTGGAAAAGGATTTTGTTACATTTTCTGGTGCACTGCTCATTCTTATTTCGCATTTTCTGTAAGTTTGGGGAGGAAAAGAGTCCTTATTGATAAGGTAAGAAATAGGTTCTTTTTACAAAACAACTATTTCAAAGTATCTCAAAGTGCCTGTCAGATATAACTTTTGATATAACCTTTGTAACGGGGCATCCATTACAAGAATGTACAACTTCCATTCTACAATACTTTTGAAAAGTAACATTATATACTTTGTTTACCCAGAACAGTATTTAGTTACAGATCTTGCTTATAGCTAGTTACTTCCAACTCTTGATTCTAAGGACCAAATTGTTCTACATTACAACACTGGAAAAGGATTTTGTTACATTATCTGGTGCACTGCTCATTCTTATTTCTCATTTTCTGTAAGTTTGGGGAGGAAAAGAATCCTTATTGATAAGGTAAGAAATAGGTTCTTTTTACAAAACAACTATTTCAAAGTATCTCAAAGTGCTGTCAGATATAACTTTTGATATAACTTTTGTAATGGGACACCCATTACAACAATGTACAACTTCCATTCTACAATACTTTTGAAAAGTAACATTATATACTGTGTTTACCCAGAACAGTATTTAGTTACAGATCTTGCTTATAGCTAGTTACTTCCAACTCTTGATTCTAAGGACCCATTCCATCTCTCCATTTGCAAATAGTGTCACTTCTTCCACCATTGTTCAATTCAATTATTCCTTTTTTAAAAAATTCTCAACATTTTTTTTAACTGCAACGACCTTGTAGTTTTCACTGGCAGGTTCCCTAAGGAATATCCTTTGGGATTTTCTCTGAAATTTAGAGCTAAATATAACTGGGAGCCCCAGCCCTAGAACACCCAAGAAATGAATGGGGTTTACTTAAGTGTTGAACTCACCACAGGGCAATTGATTCAGTGGACTTACTCTAAGTCAGTGGTTCCCGACCTTGGGGCCCCAGATGTTCTTGGACTAAAACTCCGAGAATTCTTCATGACTAGGTGTGCTGACCAGGATTTCAGGGAGTCATGGTCCATGTACATCCAGGGACCCAAGGTTGGGAACCTCAGCCACTGGGCCTTTCCAGCTGTAGGATATTCAAAATACAGTAGGACCCTGCTATCCGTGGGATCAGCATCCACTGGTTAATTTACCTGCTGTCTCTAAATCCTAAATACATGGACCGAATACTTATTGATATGCATATCCCGGGTGCATTTAGCGGAACTGGCCACTAGAGCGGGACAGACGATGAAATGTATAGTGTTTAATATTTCGGCTTGGAAACGATCCCCTGTGGATAGCACAGTCGTACTGTAGTACCATCCCGTAAAACTCAGATAGACTATCCAAAAAACATTTTTCTGATGCTCAAGGCATCTGTATGGCCCTTGTCCTACAACGATTCCCAGGTGATCATTCAGGTGAAGTCACTAACTGAAACATTTCCAATGTGGAGGGCTTTCATATGATCGTTATGATTTTTTTCATGTTTCTTCAAGTATTTTGCCGCTTTGAAGCTTTTCCCACACCAGACCCTGCTATCCGTGGGATCAGCATCCACATTTTGCCGCACTGAAGCTTTTCCCACACTGAAAGCATTTCTACGGCCTCTCTCCAGTATGAATGATCTGATGGGTTTTTAACTGGCTGATGCGCTTGAAGCTTTTCCCACAGTCCAGGCATTTGTGTGGTTTCTCTCCAGTATGAATCCTCCAGTGGTTCATCAGGTTTCCTTGCTGATTGAAGCATTTCCCACACTGAGAGCATTCGTACGGTTTCTCTCCGGTATGAATTATCTGATGGATTTTCAACTGGTTGCTCCGCTTGAAGCTTTTCCCACACTCCAGGCATTTGTGTGGTTTCTCTCCAGTATGAATCCTGCAGTGGCTCCTCAGGTTTCCTTGCTGACTGAAACATTTCCCACACTGAGAGCATTTGTACGGTTTCTCTCCGGTATGAATCCGCTGATGGACCAACAACCATTTTTTCTGGTTGAAAGACTTCCCACACTGAGAGCACTTATAAGATTTTGTTTCGCCTCCAGGATGGATGCGTTGGTGTACTTTCAAATATCTTCCAAGGCTGAAGCATTTTCCACATTGAAAACATTTGTATGGTTTAGCTCCAGTATGAATCCTTTGATGTGTATTCAGATTTCTTCTCTGACTGAAGCACTTCCCACACTGAGAGCATTCATATGGTTTCTCTCCGGTATGAATCTGCTGATGGATCAGCAAAGCTTTTTCCTGGTAGAAGGACTTCGTGCACTGGGAGCACTTATACGGTTTTGCTTCAGCTCCAGTATGGATGCCTTGGTGTGCTTTCAAATATTTTTCCAGGCTGAAGCATTTTCCACATTGATAACATTTGTACGGTTTAGCTCCAGTATGAATCCGTTGATGTGTATTCAAATTTCGTCTCTGACTGAAGCTCTTCCCACACTGATAACACTTGTACAGTTTCTCTCCAGTATGAGATTTCTGGTGGATCATCAAATTTTTTCTCTGAAGGAAGCCTTTCCCACACTGAGAACATTCAAACAGCCTTCCCTCACTTTGAATTCTGTAACTCTCCCCACTCGCAGAATCCTTAGGGTCCTCTTCTGCACGATCATACCGATACATGTCCAAATGATCTCCTTCCACATTTTCCAAAAATTCAGGTTTTATTTCTCCAGTTACCACCCTCTGTTGTTTATCAGAGTATACATTTTCCTGGAATGCTTCTTCTGATGTGACACATTCATTATGGTTCTTTCTGGCATGGATCCTGTCAGGTTCTGATTTGCAAGGAAACTTTGGGCTGTATTTGAGGGTTGTGGGTGTTTCCTCCCTCGTAGGCATTTTGGAAGGCTGGCATACTGTAGCTGTAAGATGGTCCCTGAACTCATTAGGTTCCTTGTCTCTCTCTGTTGACTGATCCTCTTTCAATCCACATTCTTCCTCACCTATCTCAGTTCCCTTCAGCAGGTTCACTTCGCTTGCCGGGGCAGCGGTTCTGGGGACATCCATCGGCTCATTTCTTTCCCAC